ACAGCCCGGAGCGGGGCGCAGTGCCCGATTTCCCCCCGGCCGCGGCGGGGAGACAAGCGGGCTGCTTTGCCCCGTCCTGTGCCACAGAGCTCGCCGAGGGACGAAGGATGCTCGTCCCGCCGCGCAGGGCTGTCCCCAGGGCTCCAGGGCTGCCTTCACCCTGTGCGGTGGCAGGCGGAGGAGCCCGCAGCACATTCCCATCCCGATGGTGTCGTGGGCCTCTCTAGAGCCGTGGTGATGCCCCCCACCGTGCCCAGCCCCAGATGGACCTCCCAGGCAGCGGCTGGTTTGAGACCACTGAAAAAAACTGCAAAGAACTGAAGTTTTGGCAGTTTTTTTGTGAATCAGGAAGCGATCTTGGGCAAACTGTGGTGTTTCAGAGTGCCTCGCTGCATTTAGTCATGATGCAAGGGGAGTGAGACCAGACAGGCTGGCAAAGTAGAGAGGAGGTGCTGGGGATGGTACAGGCACAGTTGGATGTGCTGGGACAGTCTGACATCTGGCAGTATTGTGTCTCAGGAGAAAAACTGGGAATGTGTGAAATGTGATGCAAGTCAGAATTCAGGTGTGTTCTCCACAATCCTCCTTCTGAATGAGATTCGGCAGAGCCTATAGGATCCCTCACCCTAAACTGAATTAAAACATGGTTTGCACATGTTGCCGTTGAATGAAAAGGTAAAAGCACTGTGAGTTTTTTTTATGTACACAAAGGTCCTGAAATATGGAAATACTTGTTACATGGGTGCTGTGTAGCAGTAATACACCTGGCTGCAAAATGTAGTGTCCTACTTGCTGTTCTAGGGAGCTGATTATCAAAGCCATGCTACTCTTTCTCATGAAAGTTTTTTTTCTTTCATTATATATGAGGAAAGCATCTGCCTGAGGAATAACCTGAGTAGAAAGCTAAAAATCATGAGTAGGTTGGGTTTTGAGCCTCTGTGGCCTGCACTGACCCCAGTTCAGTGTTTCTTGTACAGGTGCTGTGAGTGCACATGGTGTGCCCAGGTTGTACAGCAAGGCAATGCTCAGAAACCAGCGTCTGCTAAAAAGAGCTACTCTGCTGGTCTTTGCATGGGGAAGTATTTCTTCTTACTGTAGCTATAGGGGAGGCAGCTGCTGGAAGCATCACACCCCCTCTATTTTCAGAGTTAACAGCCTGGACAGCTTTGGAGAGGTGTGAGAACCTCCTCAACACCCCTGCCTGGGGTATCCCACCCATGGCACAGCTGAGATGTGGGTCCCAGCACAGCACCTGTGCCTGCCAGCATGGCTGAGGGGAGCTGAGCTGGCTCCAGTGGGAATTCAGCACATTCCAGGGCAGAATCCAGTCCTCCACCAGCATGGCCAAGTTCACCAGTTCGTGGGCTGGACCTGGGCTTAGGGACCACCTCCACCTCAGCCTCCTGCGGAAACCCACAGCTTCCCCTCCCCTGCCAAATTCAGCCTTTTCAGATAGCTGCCAGAGCTCTCGGGGAGATGAGCTGGTGCTGCAGTCTGATGTGGATGGAGGGAGGGATGGATGCTCTGCAGCTCGGGCATCTCCATCCATCTGGAGCTGGAGCCATGCTGCTGGAAAGGAGGTGTTTGGCTGTGGTGTGTGGGTGCCGGTGCTCTGCGTGTAGCCGGGCGCAGGTCTCTCACTCCCTGTAGTTTGCCACATGGCACCTGAATTCCTTTTCCCACCTCTGGAAGCCACCAAAGAACCAAAGTGCAGCCTGTGGCAGCGCCCAGCACCCGGACTGCAGGGCACAGGGCTGTGTGCAGCGCTCAGGGTGCCAGGTTTGGTGCCTGCTGCCAGGCACCACAACGTAGGGGCCGTCAGAAGCTGAGTTTTGCTCTAAGTGCACCTAAATTTCCAGCTATTTGCCTAGAGACAAGTGATGTAGCATGCAGTGATTTTTAGCCTCCTCGGCTGGCGGTTGAAGCCCCGTGTGGTGAGGGAGGAGCATAAAGCTTCCTGGAGAGCCGTGATGGATGTGGGTGGGTTTATATTCCCCTTGGCCTTGGATCCCAGCTCAGGAAGCCAGCTCTGCTCAGGAAGAGTTAGGGATATTCTCGGGTCTTGCTGGCCCAAGTGAGAGGTGGGTTACAGGCTTTGCCAGATTTGAGCCTCCAATCAAAACCTCAGCATCATGTAGCAGATGTGAGAGAAACTGATAAGAGTCAAAGATGAGGGGCATCGTGTTAGGTCTGAGAGGCTTTTGCTGACTGAAACTGAAAGCAGAAAATGAAGGCGTGCTGGTTGGGCACACGCTGCAAAGTCACCTGTAGTTTTAACCTCTGTGGAAGCTGCATAAAAAGTGAAGATTAGAGGTGTGCAGCTTTGAAGAGGTGAGGAGCTGGAAATGCCCTGGGAGACTGAGCAGTTTTCTGCTGGCTGTTACACAAGACTCTTTAGATGAAGCCAACCTTTAAGAGCTGCTAAGGGCCTGATTTGCCTCCCTGAACATGTTTGAAGAAGCCTGATGCTTCTAGGGTAGTAGAGTCCTCTAAAAGGGCTGGATGCAGGGGGAAGGAGCTGGTGTGTTTCTCTTAGCCCTCTTTTGTTTTCTACAGAAGATTGGCTCAGTAACCACACCAGTATTTTTCAGTTTCTCACAGTGGGGCCTTACAAGAGCCACAGTCATCTTTGTGGATGGATGGGAAAGGTTTTGAGGTTGCCTTTAGGATTTTTCCAGCTGCGCTGCATGGTTTCAATGCTCTGCCTTTACACTAGCTTGTGGAGAATCTGAAACTGCAGCTGTGACCCCTGCCCACCCTCCACACCCTCTGCCCAAAGACTGAGCAGCTTTGGCAGAGAAAAATTGGGAACATTATCCTTCTATAGTGGAGACATTGTTGGTCTCTGTTAATTCACGCTATGCTCTTACAAAAGCTATTATGAAAATAATTGTATTTATAGGATGGTAAGTGCATTTCTGCAAAGTAATATTTGGACAACTGTGTTGCAGAGGAATAAACATCCTGAAATTTCTGTACTAGAGAGATTAATTTGTTTTACTGTTTATTTTTAAACAGAGCAAACGATGTTTCTTCAGGATGGTGCTTACTAGCAGTCCCCCTGCTCCTGCCCTGACTTGACAGAGATCATTCAGCTTTGACAACACTACTCAGTTTGAAGTGCTGCAGAAAGTTTGTCTGTTGGATCTTCACAACTGTGACCCAGAATGTACTGGTGTGTGGGAACTGAGGAATCCACTGCTGGCAGAGAGAACAACATGGAGCCACAAAATGGTAAATAGGAGGATTTCTTTTCTTTCCTCTTCAGATTGGGAGCAAAAGATTTTAAGAGAACTCAGTAGCCAGCAGCCACTGGGTTTTGATGGAGTTTAAATATGTGGAAGGCCTTTGAGTGATCTGAGCCCTGATCTTTGAAAATTTACAGGATGGAACAAGGAGTTTGACTTCCAAGGAGAACGATGTTGAACTCCTCGGGTGATAAGAATAGCATTTCTTTGAAGACTGATTTTCTCCAAAGGCTAACTACAGAGTTAGTCAATATATATATATCATGTCTCACCAGTTTCTAAATATGTTTTACCAGATCTGTGCTTTTTCAGCATGCAAATGCAAATATGTTCCCAGCCCCAGTGTGTGTTCAGGGAACCAAAGCTGCACGAAGATCAGAGCGTCG